CTATCACACTACCCCCAACCAAATAGTCAATATTTCCATTTGGATCAGTAAAGAAATCGGAGACATCCAAATGAGTCACATCAATTGGACCATCATAATCAGCAAAATTAGTCTCCAATTTTTCTTTTCCCTTGATTGATCTTTAGTAGAGATCCACAAGATGTTTTGAGGTACGACACGTACGTGCTCAATGCCCTTTCATTCCACATCTGAAGCAACTTTCTTCATGCTACTTTTTAGATTTGTCACTCTCGTTTGCTTTGTACCTTTTGAATTTATTGCATTGTTATTGATAACTTTGTTGATTATTTCTTCCATGATTTATTCCACGTACACGTCCGTGTCCGTGTCCACGTCCAAATCCGTGTCCACGTCCACGTCATTGTCTTAATATTGTATTTGCTTCAGACAATGTAGTACCATTTGCTTCAGGCAATAGTACAGAACCAGTTCGACGTAATCCATGATTTTTCATCAACAATTCATTATTTTGTTCAACAACTAGTAGACAAGATATAAGTTCTGAGTATTTTTTGAAGGCCGCTCACGATATTGCTACTACAAGAACACATTCGAGGCATGAAAAGTGGAGAAAAATTTTTCCAGCATATCTTCATTGGTGATTTTTCTCCACACAAAGTCAACTTTGAACATATTCTGAATAATTCAGAATTGTACTCACTAACCGTTTTAAAGTCTTGCAAATGAAGGTGCATCTACTCATAACGGGCTTTGGGGAAGACTATAGTCCTCTGATAATCAAATCTTTCAGTTAACTTTTTTTAAAGAACTTGTGGATCTTTCTCAGTGAGATATTCAATTTTTAATCCATCGTGAAGATGGTGATAGAGGAAAATGAGTGCTTTTACACGATCCTGCAGGGATTCATTGTTTCCTTCTTTTATTGTCTCTTCCAGACCCTTTGAAACGAGATAGATATCAGCATCCAGTATCCATGACAGATAATTTTTACCAGATATGTCAAGTGCAGCAAACTCAAGTTTCGTAATGTTTGCCATTTGTTTAACTACACAATAAAAAAATACAATTAGTTTCGAAAAATATGATTAATCATCACATGTTAATCAAATAGTCAATATCAACATGACTTTAACATACATGTTTTCCTCTAGAGATAAACACTAATTTGAAATAATATGTTTTTCGAAACATATGCTACTTCTGGAGCACATTATATTTTGCTATTATTTCTTCTAGTGCAATATGTCAATATTCTTCTGGAATATTGAGAGTTATAATTTATGCACTTCAGGAGCAAATAATATTCTTATAATGTTGTGCTACTTCTGGAGTAACAACGAATAGATCTATGATTAATATTTTTCTGGAATATTAATTATAATGTTGTATTACTTCAGGAGCAACAACAATCAAAAATAAATTTAATGTAATGTTTTATAACTAAACATAAAAAAAAATGATAATACATCTAATTACTCACCATTAATTAATATACAAACACATGTAAAATATTATTTTGAATTAATAACGTGAGTCGAGTGAAATACAAAAAAAAAAAAAATTGGTGACATGAAGAAACATATTCACATATTATGGCACGAAATTCTAATTATGTGCAATTAAAAGAATTGAATTAGTATTAACCAATTAAGGCATGAAATTTGCAGAAACCAATGGATTTGAGAGAAAAGATAAGTTTGGTACAGTTATTTGTTAATTGTATATTATATATATATAGAATCAGCCAAAATAGAGATCTGAAATTGAAACTTGCTTACAAAGAACATTGACTAATTAAACAAAAAAAATTATAAACATGTGTAGAACGTAAATAGCTAATCTAAATATAAGGAGGGTATAGGAACATGAATTAATGCATATCAATTGATTTAACATAAATATATCTCCATAAAAATGCACGTGGATTGATGTAAAGGAAAAAAATATTAATTAATTCAAAGAGAGGTACAAAAAAAACATAATGATCGAGAAAGATGAGATCACGTATTACAGATTCAACATATGTATATGTAAAATTCACGTATTATCAAATTAATTTTGATATACGTGATAAATGATTATGAAAAAAATTACTACCTTCTAAGAGTTTTGAGCTGATAACGTGTTATAAAATGAGAGGAAAAGAGAATAGAGAAAACTCAATAAACTTTTTGTGTATATTATTGAAAACCAAAGCCCTATATTTATAAGTAAGAATTAGGGATACAATGGTAATAATTTTTAGGGCTACAGGGGTATAAACGTCATTCACCAATAAACTTTAATAAACTTTCCATTTACAACAATAGATACATTTTTTAACACACACAAACTATGAAAATTGGAAAATAAAAAACAAAATAACACATGAGCAAAGTAAGTAGAGTAGAGCTGAACTATCAAAGGCATCAACATCAATAGACAGCACGTTGGAAGGGATGAGTATAAGGAAGAATCTACATATAGTGTATGTAAATGCGAGTACCAGCAAAAGCCATCAAAACGCCATCATATCCGAATCATAGAACTATTTGTCCCAAAAGAAAAATTAGAAATCATAAAGAAAACTATAATTAACACTCAAAGTAGAAGATGCTGGAACGAATCATTTAAGCTTCAAAGAAAATAAAGAAATTATTCACAATATAATTGCGGCACGAAAATTTAACATCTACACAAAGAAATTCTCGAACCTCAAGATCCTTGATTCGTTTCAAAAAATTGAATCCCTACATAAGAAAAAAATAAAGAATATTAATTTCAACTTTGTTAAAACAAAATATGAAAAAAATAGTAACAATAATCAACCAAAAAAAGGAGGTCAAAATAAAAGGACAGTAAAAACAAAAAGGGGAAACTGAAAAAAAAAAATGAAAAGAAGAAATGAATCCAACATAAAAAAAAAAAAGAAAAAGAAAAAAAACAGCACTAAAAAAGAAGAAAAGAAACTGAAAAAGAAAAAGACGTCCGCAAAAAATAAAAAAAATAAAAAATAAAAGTTTCTGCCTACGGCACAAACCCAAACCGATTGTTGGTTTCCGCTGGATATTATTATTAAAAAAAAAATAGAGAGAGAAAGAAAGAAAGGCAAAATAATAATAATAATAATAATAATAATAATAATAATAATAATTGATTTTGGTTTCTTTTCTCAAAAAAAGGCAAAAAAAAAAAATTAATTTGTTTCTGCCAACGATTCTGTTGGCAGAAGCCAAAACCAATTTGTTTACCTTTATTTACAAGACTTAACCATTTTGATTACAAATCTCAACTTCACTCAAGCCCAACTTATCATGAAACATAAGAAGTATGTTCAAATCAAATTTGTTATTGGTCGTATAAAATAAATAAATAATCAAAATTCGATGAAAAAAATTATTATTCTCAAATTTGAAGGATAAGTATTTTATTAAATTTATAGTTTATTCTCAATTTTTTCGTACGTATTAATTTACTAATGGAAAATTTGAGTTCAAATCAAATTCTAAACTAAAAAAAAAAAAAGAATCGAAAATCAAGATTTATTAATTAATTTAATTAATCAAGATTGGATTGATTTAAATCATTAACTTAATTAAATTGAAGTCTACTAAAGTTCATAAAACCCAGAGGTCCACCTCACCTTTTAAATAAATAAACAAATAAATAAAATCATAATTACTTAATTATTTCTTTTAATTAAATATACTTTGAGATATATCGAAATTAGCATGAATTTTTCCCTACAAATAGGATCAATGTTACATAAGATAGGGGAAGAAGTGAAAAGCACATAAGAGAATCACGAAGTACTGAAAAAATTTCAAAGTCGGAGAAAGAGAAGAAATCCTTTCAAATCTAAATTTGGCGAACCTTAAGAATATCAAAATCTTCTTGAAATCAAACAGGTTCAAGCCAAACCAAAAAGATTAAAGTCTTCAAATCAAATCAATTCAATTCAAGTCCAAGTTCAAGCCCCAAAATTAAAGTGCTAAACAAGTCAAGTCTCAGCAAATCAAAATTTCAACAAATTCTTGAATATCAGAATTCAAGCCACGTGAACTCTCGTCTTCAAATATTTAGATCATTAATCAGTTGATTTTTTCGATTTTGCAATTACAAAAAGGTCAATATCACTTGTATTTCTCAAAAACAATATATAACGATTTTCTTTATTTTAATCCACGAAGTTCGTACATACTCAATGTAACATTTTTATCTCATTGCTCTCTCTAAACTTTCACAATTTTACCTTAATGCCAAGAACGTATCTTGAATCCTTAGAAAGTATTTATAGAAAAGACTCCTCTCCTTTTCCTAATTGAATATATATTGATTTTTTTTTCTTTTCCAACTTGTGAATATATTAACATACAAGGAACATACTCCTACTATAATATGGCCAATTTTCTTCTTCTTTCGAAACAAGAAATCCTATTTTTCTTTTTCATAATATAACTCTTCAATTTCAATTAATTGGTTTAATCCCAACAATTTCCACGTTAACTAAAAAGAAAAATTCTAAACGAACAAGGCTTGATAACAGGACCTCTTGATAGGGCCTAAGGCTGAGCGGATCAGGGGCTGAGGTCTGCCAAGAGGGCCTGTCACCCGGACTTGTTTGTGTGGAAGAGCTCAACTAAAAAATATCCCAATAACGGTACACTTCACCATGACACTTATCTTCTCAGTTCTTTCCATGAAAAATTACCTTAAGGTAAAGTAATTGAGAAAATGGAAAATATATATCTCTTGCATTTTTGTAGTTCATAGTGTTATATGTATTGTGAGAAAGTGATCATCTTGGTGTTTTTCAGTTTAAACTCAACTAGGAATTAGAGCGTCCGATTAAGTTACGGGAGAAATCGGATGGTGTTTTTATTATATGTGTCTCATCGATTACAATGATCCCACATATTTAGCTATACTGCACTGATTAAATCCTCTCTCTAACGTGTGTGTGTGTGTGTGTGGAATTTAGTTGATTTGAATATATCTTGCATTTGTTTAGCATGTGCAGATTTAATGAGGGTACTGGCTGTGGAACAAGAGAATTAATTTACTGCAGGGATAACATAAAAATTACAAAGACCAGCTGATTTAAACAAAACATTTCCATGAACTCTTGAACAATAAACTTATGCTGATCGCAAAAAATCCTACTAAATATCCCAACCCGAAGGGAGCAGCGTACCATAAACTTTCCGACTCTTCTGCCGCCGGCACTGGCTGTAATATTTCGACTTGGCCACCGGAAGTGCAACTTCTTTGTATTAAAAACCCACAGAGTTTCGGATTGCCCTCAAACGAAGTGGCAGGAAATGTATCAAACTGGCCACCCCTTGGAATTTCTCCTTGTAAATCATTGTTTTCGACACTGAAGGAAGACAAGAAGTGGAGGCTTGTTAGTGATTCCGGGATCTTTCCAGAGAGATTGTTCTCCGACATGTCAAGTTTCTCTAAATTCACAAGGTGGGACAGTTCACTTGGAATGCTTCCACTGAAGTTGTTATTATTGAGATCCAGCTCCTCAAGAAGCCTCAGTTGGCATAATTCCACTGGAATATTCCCACTCAGATTATTATTCCCAATTTTAATTGCCCGTCGCACGTTAGATAGACTACGAACTTCTTGATTGTGAGATAAGTAAGGCAATACTATATAACTCAAGTCTGGAACTGTATCGTCTGCAATCAAAGCTTTTAGGCCTCCAATTTCTCGAGGAAGCTCTCCCCACAGATGGTTTTGAGTGAGGTTGAGGTCAAAGAGACTTGGCATACTCCACAACCATGTTGGAATAGTGCCTGTAATTTGATTATATGACAGATTTAGCACTTTAAGTTTCTTTAATTTTCCAATCCAAGAAGGAATTTCTCCTTTGAGTTGGCATCCCCCCAGACTGAGCATTTTTAGGTTTTGGAACACATTAAAATGTTGCAAACTGTAATGATCTGGCACAGGTTCTTCATGGAAGCACCTTGCTAGGAAGAGAACTGTAAGATTGTCACACTCCATCAGAATCCTAAAAGCTCCGAGGACGTTAAACAGATTATTGCCGGCGAGGTTGAGGTAGGATAAAGATTTTAGTGCAGCAGTGCAAGCTGGAATTTGACCGTCCAACTGGTTATGGGAGAGTCGAACAGCAGTCAGGGATCTGCACAAGCATAGGCTATCTGGAATGTTTCCCACAAAGCTATTGTTCCCAAAATCAATGACTTCCAGTTTATGTAGATTGGAGAAATCAAGACTCGAAATTTTTCCTCCTAAAAGATTATTGCGCAAAAGCAGCATCTTTAGGTTGGTGCAATTCATCAAAGACGGAGGAACAGAACCATTTAGGGCGTTGGTGTGAAGTATGAGTTGTTTCAAATTTGACAGCATCCCAATATCAGTAGGAATCTCACCAGTCAGTCCATTTTGATTGAGATCTATAAGACTTATATTTGATAGAAGAACAATGCTATTGTTTACTGTTCCTGAAAGTTGGTTGTTAGGTAAAGAGATTTCTGTCAATGTTTTTACACTGTAAAGATCAGACGGAAGTGGTCCCGAGAGAGAGTTGAAACCTGCCCTGAAGACTTCCAACTTAGAACATCTTCCAATGCTGCCTTGTGATATATTGCCACTAAATTTGTTCATGGAGAAATCCAACATCTTCACAAGGCTGGAAGTGATGCATAAAGAAGACGGAAGTGGACCCATAAACTTGTTGTTGCTGATATTGAAACTAATCAAACTCGATGCGCGATGGAAAAAATTCGAATAATCAATTAACCCATTGAACCGATTGCTCGATAGATCTATGATTTGGATAGAAATAGGCATGGTGGTGTCTGAAAACCACCCAGACAGAAAATTAAAACTCAAATCAAGTGATTCCAAATGATTCAGTGTTCGAAAAAGTGTGACAGGGAGAGAGCCAGAGAAGTGATTGTGGGACAGATTAATATGAGACAGAAATGAAAGATTCCCAAGAAAGGGAGTAATAGTTCCTGAAAGACCCTTACCAGGTAACGATAATTGGGTGACACGAGACTCGCTATTGCAAGTGATACCTTCCCATTTGCAGCAATTGAGAGGACTGGCCGGTGGAGGGGAAGAAATGTGTTCATAAAATGATAAAAGAGAATCATGATCAAGCATGTCACATGAAAGTACTTGTACGGAAGAGAGGAGAAGAAAAAGGAAGGTAATGAGGACTGGCATTGAATAAATTAAAAAAAGAGACTTCATTCTGTGTTTCTTGTTCATACACTGAATCGCATGGTGAGATTTGTAGAACTATTATTTTCTTCTAATTACCGTGTTCAGAATGGTAGATAGGAAAGTTTAAGGTCTCCGACAATTCCCTTTATTACATGGATCACACAGTGATTCATTATTGCTGTTTTGAATTTGAAGAAGATGAAAATGAACGGGATTTGAAGTCAGCAAGATAGGACAGTTCCTTAAATTCCAATTAAAATATCTTGTCAGGGGACCCACTTACCATCCCAATTCGTCAAGAACCGGGCTATGGTGACTAAATGGATGACAGAAAGGATACCTGCTAATATGGAAAAGGCCACAATTAAGGAAAGAAAGAGGAAGAAATAAGAAAAAGAGAAGAATCGGGTCAATGTTTCAAACCCTTAACCCCACTACCAAACCCACGTAATCCCAAAACCACTGTTTTCCCCAAATCTACCAAATCCTCCAGCGCCGCCACCAATTATCTCAAACCCTCCAACGTCAGCAGCAAAAGAAAGCATATGTACGCTACTTCGCTTGCTGCACCAGAAGGACCCGACCTCATCTTCCTCCGTCGAGTTTATCCAGCTACACCAGAGAAATTGTTGAAGGCGTTTGTGAGCCGTTCGACGACGGGTCCCATCTTCTCCGACAGAATTTATAGCAACTGAAAGTAGGTTTGTTGTTAAGTTTACATGGGTGTTGATTTGGTTTATAGCAAGCGGAAGTTAGAATTTGTTGGGATTTTAACCATTGAATATGCTATTCATGTGAAACTCCCAAGCGTATGAGATCGTTGACAAGTAATAGATTTGATGAGTTGAGAGTATCGTCTAACGAGTAATAAAATTTAATAGAGTATACTAATACTTTATTAGATTCAAAGCAAACAAATAAAAGTTATTTGTGATTTTTATTTAATTTAACATAATCTACGAAAATTTGTAAAATGCGAATTTAATAGGTATGGAAGGATTGTATTAGATTACGAATCCACTTATTAGTATCTATTCCAATTCTTGACTATATAGCTAGTTTTGTTCATGCATTCTTGATAATCGATAATTCTAATGTAATTAATTTTCTTTTTCAAGACAAATTAAATATATCTTAATCACTACCGAATCTATTCCTAGTTCGAATTTGAATGAATAAAATGCATTCAATTTCACAATTATCTCAAAAATTGCACACATGATAAATCTTATTTCTACAATTTATTGCACGCATATTAATCAAACAGTGTTCTAAACCTATTGTGAGTTTCCCAATACTACAACTAGTAACTATATATTTAATTGGTGATCAAACAATCAAATAATAAATTAAGCATGCAAGATTAATCAATAATTATAAAAATTTAACTAAACCACGTGTCTTGAATTAAAAATAAACAATAAAGGATTTCATCGTCATCCAATACATGAGAGCAATTAGCCTAGTATATTATTGAAATTAAACACATAAAATGGAAGGACATCACAAAAATTTGACGGAAGGTGATTAAATCCTCAATTTCGTACTTTCACTGGCTTTACGTGTTTTTCTCCAGCACCAACCCACTATTTTATATATGTCTGCGTGTATTTTTTCTTCCAAGTTCCAACCGTCGTTGTTTTCTATATCTTCTCTTCAATTGTTTTTCTATATTTGAAATCAAGCCCAGCCGCAATGTTTGATCCCAATTTTTCCTTTCTTGCCGTCTGTACGTGATGTGTATATAAAATCAGCAGCCAGCCCTTGTATTTTCTCCAACAACAGGTCAACCTTTTTTCTCTCTCCCCTCTGTATATTGTCACCAATTGTTTTCAGGTTCTGCCCCTTTTTCTTTCTCCTAGTTGGCGTGTAAATCAATCTCAACTTCAGCCGCCCGAATCTCCAATGTGCATCTCCAATGGCTGCCATCATCATTATTTTATTATTATTTTTTTTTAAGATTTGGTTGTCTCTCTCCCTATCTTAAAAGAGAGAACGTGGATTTACTGTTCATTTTGTATATAAAATCAGCAGCCAGCCCTTGTATTTTCTCCAACAACAGGTCAACCTTTTTTCTCTCTCCCCTCTGTATATTGTCACCAATTGTTTTCAGGTTCTGCCCCTTTTTCTTTCTCCTAGTTGGCGTGTAAATCAATCTCAACTTCAGCGGCCCCAATCTCCAATGTGTATCTCCAATGGCTGCCATCATCATTATTTTATTATTATTATTTTTTAAGATTTGGTTGTCTCTCTCCCTATCTTAAAAGAGAAAATGTGGGGTTTACTGTTCATTTTTATCGCATGGATTTTCACATAAAGTCGGCTTGAAATTGATTTGACAACAGTAAATTATTCTATTAAATCACACTGTAGTATTCTTTTCTCACGCAATTTCACCATTTTCACACACTACTTCACTTGATTAAAGCCAATATTATAATATATATTATATAATAAACAAACGAAATTAAATATAAATTACAGACAAAAATAGAAAAATATATTATAAAATTTTTAAATTAAATTAAAATGATTTAATATATATATATATATATATATATATATATCCTCCATGGATGGAGATAATCTCTTCATCCATGAAGAGATAGTCTTTCCTTTCAAAAGGAAATGAGAGAACTCTCATTTTGCACAAGTGTTATCACTTTGTGCAGTGAGTGATTCCACTCCATGCACGGAGTGGTGATATGTCCTTTTTGTTTTTTATATAGTAATTTTTTATTAATAAATATGTAATTTTAAAAAATTAATTATATCTAAATCCCTCCTTACCTTGAAAAGGAGAATGTGAGGTTTACTTTCCATTTTTATGACATTGGTTTTCATATTGAACTGGTTTGATTCTTTGAATCTGACACGCAATACTGCTTCTCCATTTTCTCACGCTATCAACTATATCCTATAATTGTATTACTAGTAATATTTTTTTAAATAATATTTTGTTACATTGTAACTTTTTTTAATTGGTCTCCAGAAGCGATGTCGTTTTCTATTTTACTTGCAACTTACATGCTTTGAATCTGACACACTACTTCTTTCTCCATTCTCTCACGATATCAACTATCATCCATATCCTATAATTTTATTAGTAATAATATTTTTGTTACATAAAAGTTATTCTTTATTTCTAAAATGTAAAAAGTTACTTATAAGTAAAAAAATCACTTCAAGTTATTTAAAAATAATAAAAAAACTTATAATTGTAAAATCTATTTATAGATAAAAAAGTATTAACTACAACATTTTTAAGTAAATATTTAGAGTTAAAATTAAATATTAATAAAAAGATTACACTAACTAGAATGTAAAAAGTTACTTATAAGTAAAAAAATCACTTTAAGTTATTTAAAAATAATAAAAAACTTATAATTGCAAAAGCTATTTATAAATAAAAAAAATATTAATTTCTCATTCTCTTATAATTGCAAAAACTACTTACAAGAAAAAAAATATCAATTTAAATTTTGTAAGAATAAATATTTAGATATATTTAGTTTTTTAAACTAAATATTAATAAAAAGATTACACTACCTAAAATGTAAAATGTTCTTATAAGTTAAAAAAAATCACTTTAAGTTATATCAAAGTAATAAAAAATTTATAATTGTAAATGCTACTTATGGATTAAAAAATATTAACTTCAACATTTTTAAGTAAATATTTAGATATATTTAATTTTTTTAAATTAAATATTAATACAAAATTACTATAATATAAAAAAAAAAAGTAATGCGTGGAGTGGTTTCACTCCGCGCATGGAGTTTTCCTTTTTTTTTTTTAAATTTTATTTATAGTAATTTTTTATTAATATTTAATTTGATCTAAATATTTATTTTAAAATGTTGAAGTTAATATTTTTTTTTATCTATAAATAGCTTTTACAATTATAAATTTTTTTATTACCTTTAAATAATTTGAAGTGATTTTTTTACATATAAGTAACTTTTTAAATTCTAGATAGTCTAATCTTTTTATTAATATTTAATTTTAAAAACTAAATATATCTAAATATTTATACTTAAAAAAATTTAAGTTAATATATTTTTTACTTATAGGTAGTTTTTACAATTATAAGAGAATGAGGGAATAATATTTTTTTTTTTACTTATAAGTAACTTTTACAATTATAAATTTTTTATTAATTTTAAATAACTTGAAGTGTTTTTTTACTTACAAGTAACTTTTTACATTTTAGATAGTGTAATCTTTTTATTAATATTTAATTTAAAAAAATAAATATTTTTACTTAAAGAAATTTAAGTTAATATTTTTTACTTATAAGTAGATTTTGCAATTATAAGAGAATGAGAGATTAATATTTTTTTTTACTTATACGTAACTTTTACAATTTTAAATTTTTTTATTACTTTTAAATAACTTGAAACGCTTTTTTTAATTATAATTAATTTTTTATATTCTAGATAGTGTAATCTTTTTATTAATATTTAATTTAAAAAACTAAATATATCTAAATATTTATACTTAAAAAATTTTAAGTTAATATTTTTTACTTATAAATAGCTTTTGCAATTATAAGAGAATGAGGGATTAATATTTTTTTACTTATAAGTAACTTTTACAATTATAATTTTTTTTATTACTTTTAAATAACTTGAAATATTTTTTTACTTATAAGTAACTTTTTTACATTCTAGATAGTGTAATATTTTTATTAATATTAAATTTAAAAAATAAATATATCTAAATATTTATATTTAAAATTTTTTAAGTTAATATTTTTTACTTATAAGTAACTTTTTTACATTCTAGATAGTGTAATATTTTTATTAATATTAAATTTAAAAAATAAATATATCTAAATATTTATATTTAAAATTTTTTAAGTTAATATTTTTTTACTTATAAGTAATTTTTACAATTATAAGTTCATTTTACTTTTAAATAACTTGAAATGATTTTTTAGTTATAAGTAACTTTTTACATTTTAGAAATAAAGATTAACTTTTATGTAAAAAAGTATTTAAAAAATATTATTACTAATAAAATTATAGAATATGGTCAATAGTTAATAGCGTAAGAAAATAGAGAAAGAGTACTATATGTCAAATTCAAAGTATGTAAGATGCAGGTAAAATAGAAAAAGTCATCACATGCACGGAGTGATTAACATTCCGTGCATGAATTGTAATCTTTTTATTAGTATTTAATTTAAAAAACTAAATATATCTAAATACTTATACTTAAAAATTTTAAGTTAATATTTTTTTACTTATAAGTAGCTTTTACAATTATAAGAGAAGGAGAGAATAATATTTTTTTACCTATAAGTAGTTTCTACAATTATAAATTTTTTAGTACTTTTAAATAACTTAAATTAATTTTTTACTTATAAGTAATTTTTTACATTTTAGATAGTGTAATCTTTTTATTAATATTTAATTTGAAAAACTAAATATATCTAAATATTTATAATTAAAAAAATTTAGTAAATATTTTTTTTGCTTATAAGTAGTTTTTAAGTTCATTTTAATTTTAAATAACTTGAAGTGATCTTTTTAGTTATAAGTAACTTTTTACATTTTAGAAATAAAGAATAACTTTTATATAAAAAAATTATTTAAAAAAATATTATTACTAATAAAATTATAGGATATGGTCAATAATTGATAGCGTGAGAAAATGGAAAAATAGTACTGTGTATCAGATTCAAAGCATGTAAGTTGCAAGTAAAATAGAAAACGATGTCGTTTCTATTCCACCAATTTAAAAAAAAAAAGCTACACTATGACAAAATATTATTTTAATAAATATTACTACTAATAAAATTATAGGATATGGCTGACAGTTGAAAGTGTGAGAAAATGAAGAAAGAGTATTGTGT